CCTTAAAGACCCCCACAGGACCCGATAAGCCCTAAACCAAAACTGAACCCTAAACCCTAAACCTTAACACCTAAACTCTAAACCCTAAACCCTAAACCTTAAACCCTAAACCCAAAGCCCTGAACCTTAAACCCTAAACCCTGAACCCTAAACCCTAAACCCAAAGCCCTGAACCCAAACCCGAAACCCTCAGCCTCTAAGCCCAAGAGCCTTCACTGCATAGGTGGCTTTCCAGCGAGAAGTCTGGGAGTCTAAGGTCTAGGAACCTGACTACCCACGGTTTAGGGTTTAGGGTTTAGGGTTTAGGGTTTAGGGTCCAATACCCCTTTATTAAGGAACATACCCTAAACCTTATGAGGGATCCTACTCTAATTTAAGGTCTATTCCTTAATTAAGGGGTATTGGAGTCTAAGGTCTAGGAACCTGATTAAGAAGCCCTGGGTCTGTATTAGAGCCCTTTACATGGATCTCCAAATTTGGGGGTTATAGGGTTTAGGGTTTAGGGGTTCGGGTTTGAGGTGGATTCCAAAATTTGGGGGCTTATAGGGTTTAGGGTTTAGGGGTTCGGGTTTAGGGTGGATCTCGAATTTTTTTGGGGGGGTTATAGGACCAGGGTGTCTTAATCAGCTTCCTACGTGAACCCTCTTGCTGAAGCAAGCCCTGCTGTTCAGTTATGGCTTCGGGCCTGGGCTTCACGGTCTAGCGTGCGGGGCTTAGGGTAGCTTGCGCCATGTTGGCTCACTTCTTCTGAAGACAGGTCGGGGAGGCTCGACGCGTGAGCGCTTGGCTCCACCGGTGAGGGCAATGGAGAAAGTCTCCTGGCGGCTACGGTTTAGGGGTAAGGGTTCAAATTCCTGCAAACTAGCTATGACTGCAACCCAAACCGTGCAAAACAGTACGCTATGGCCCGTGTAACTCTTAGTTCAACATCCTCAAAAAGGTGTTTGGATCCGCAGGTTTGGATTGTGGCGAAAGTTGGCTGATTAGGCTATTTAGGAATTATCGGCTGCAACCTCGCTACTCAACAAAATGGCAGCGTCGACTACTGAAGCCTTGCCACTCAAAAAAGTCTCTTGCTGGGGCCCTGTGTTCTGACGGTTAGACGAGGCCTAGACAATGAACCCTAAACCCTAAACCCGAAACCCCTAAACCCCTAAACGCGAAACCCCAAACCCATAAACCCCAAACCCGAAACCCCAAACCCCTAAATGCTAAACCCCAAACCCGAAACCCAAAACCCCAAACCCCTAAACCCTAAACGCCTAAACCCCTCAACCCTCTGACCCTGTGTTAGGTGGCCGAGAAACATGGAGCCAGATCCTATTTCCAAAAATATTGGGCACCGATCAAAGCCGCAAGCTTAAACTCCCAAGCCGCAAACTTTGAGCCAAACCCACTGAGCCCCAACTCAGGTGAAGGAGGCATGACATCTTCCTCCGCAAACTTTAAACCCTAGACCCTCAACCCCAAGCTCCCACTCTTCCCCTTCGTCGTCTTCTGGGTAGCTCTCTAAGTTAGGATCGCTTTTTAACCCACCAAAGTAGTACGGCACCCGCATAAAGAGGACCCCCAAAGGGACCCGAATGAGCCCTAATTTGCCTGAAACACCTTGTCCCCTCAACCCTGGGCTTGAGGTTGTGACAGTGCAAAGTCCCTCAACACTTCGAACTGATTCCGCCCTTACAAAAACTTTCGAAGGGTTTAGGGCTTACGGCTTACGATTTGTGGTTCACATACGGGTTTACGATGTGGGGTTTACAGGTTTACATAAGGGTTTAAGCAAAGGTTTAGGCTTACAAAGACCCTAAAGCCCTATTGAAGCCCTTAGCGGAATCCCAAAATGGCCTCCACCGGTCCGGCCGGGATGGCAATCTGGCGTGGGGGAAAGCGGTTTCGACTTTTTGCAGCTTCGGAACCAGAGTCTGTAGGATTCCTTTACGGGCTTCCTCTACAAGTACCTTACATGGTCTTGAAAAGCTCTCGCAAGTTCACTTTCAAGTTCCTCATTAAGAGGTAATCAGGGGCTCCGATGCCAGATGGTTGGGGAGGACCTTAAGACGGTCGGATGTGCATTGATGGGTTTGACTCAGAGGGCCGCGGGCGACTTCGTCTTCGCTGATTAGCTATGGGCTCTAAGTGCCCTATGAAAGAGTATCTCGAGCTTATATAACCTAGTTGCCAGTTCACCCAGCATGAGCAAAATGCTGCGCATGGAGAGTTTAACACTGGAACAACGGACCCTTGAATCACTTGGACCGGGTACAGCCACACCAATAATATACCACGAAACTCTGAAAGCCCCGATTGAGGCCAGCTGAGACCCCATTGTCTGAAAGTCCCTCCAGGTCTGCAGCTGTCCGCCCTAAGCTACTTTAGCATACTGCCGATGGAGAAAAATCTGAATTACTCATCGTACGGAGCATACCATACCATTATTCCCATAGCCCATAGTTCAGAATACTTAAGGGCTTCGGTCAATATAGCTCTGAATACTTAAGGACTTCGGCCAATGCAGGATTTTGTCAGCAGAACCCCTGAAGCCCTAACCCCTAAACCCTAAACCCTAACCCCTAAACCCTAAACTTGAACCCCTGAGAGGCGCGATCCTGGAGGATACTTCCATCCAGCATGTGGGCATCCCGAGGAGCATAGGTGAGCTCGATGGGAGTCTCCTGCCATGTTGGCAAGATTGTCTATGGTGAACCCCATAAAGTAGGAACATGGATTTGGGATGATTTGCGTCAGGATCCCCTCTACTTGTCCTGTTGGGGCCTGAGGATAGCAATGTTCCAACTTTCTGGCTTCGACTTTATTGGGTGAAGGCGAGCCCAGTAGCCTCTACACAAGGAGTATCAAGGAGTGCTCCTTTCTCCATGCCTGCGGTTGTCTATGGCAAGAAGAGGTGATAAACTGTACTTTCGATCAGTGAGCCACGTGTGTTAGTGTTCAAAGGACTCTTTTGTCGGAGAGTTTTTGGGCCGCGTGACCGATCTCCCGCTAAGTCCGAACTTGCCAGCGACCTCGATGGACGAACTCCCTTGATGTCACATTGAGTACGGACAAAATTCTGCATGGGCAGAGTTGAGGGTGGGCCCTGAATCATGCACTCTGTCAACAGCAGGGGTGAACACTGCTCGAATTAAGCATTTATGTCCATAAATGCGTACCGCATTATCCCCAGGAATGCTCCTCGTGGTGCTGTGCGACACCTTGTGGATTCGACAGCGCGATGTACGGCGGCTTCTCGACGTTGCCGATGAGCTGGCCAGCAACGGACTACTGAAAGAATCCGGGTGCTTAGCAAGATTTGGGCTATGGTTGCTGTCAGTAGAGCTAGGATAATCCCGCTTCGCAGATCCTCCAAGTATGGGTTGGGGCATATTTGCTTTGAGAACCATCCCGGAGGCACAGTGACCTACATCATGTAAGCTAGAAACCTTCACAGTGAAGCCTAAACTCAGCGCCGAATTTCTTGAGGACCAGAGGGTGCCAAAGAATGCTTCAGGGGTGAGGTTTGGCTCACAGTAAGCAGTCTCACACCCTGATGGATGCCACTATGGTGACCTCTCTTTTCCTTCCGAGTTTTCTTGTTTCAGGAACCTTCGTTGATATCTAAGGCTTCTGTCAGAGACACGCATTTCGTCAGACTCCCCACTTGCTTGAATCTCTCGTAACTCACAAACAGTAGGGCTCAATACTGGGATTTTGGTGGGTGTATGTGAGGCTCGTTAGGAAGATTGGTGAGTGCACATATTGGGTGCGTTTCTATCGGGACGCTGCAGAACCCTACTTCACACCCTCACGGCAACAAAAATATAACCTACAGTTTGTGAGAGTTTGGGGGTACGGGCAAGCCCAATCCCCCAAACCCCAAACCCCCCTAGCCTGGACACCAAGATGAATGACCGTTGAGCCCAGATTTCTCAAACCCTCAGTGCTCGCTCGGGCTACATACAATATAATTTAGGATTTCGTGGGTAGGATTTTCGTACAGGGTGCTATTCTCTGGCTTTCTATTTCCCCGCTGTCGCCCTTCCAAGGCCCGAGAAAGAGCACCCCGACCTCTTCAAGTGGCTACAACCTTAGCCCCAAGACCTAAAAGCTTGCAAACCAAATCCATAAACACGGTGAGTTATGGTTCTATAAACCCAGTAAGTTATGGTTCTATAAACCCAGTAAGTTATGGTTCTATAAACCCAGTAAGTTATGGTATAAAGGACCTTATCTTCAGATCCGCCTTCGGCTTCCGGTTCGCGCCCACGAGCATCTGCACGCGGTAGTTGAAGTTCCTCTTGCTGTCGTTCCTGCCGCTCCCGAACACTCAAGGAATGCTGAAGAGAGGCGCTCTGTCCGTTCACGGTTTAGGGACCCTAAACCCTCAACCCAAAATAAACATCGGTACTTTTTTGAGTTTCACCTCAACTGATGACGATCAAGCTCTCATAGACTGCAATGTGCCCACTTCAGCACCTTCGACTGAAGATGGTCAGCTTCAGGAATTAGGGATAACACAGATGGCCTGAAGCCAAGATTCATATAGCTTACTTCCCCAATAAGCCAGGAAATAAAAGGTTAAACTTTCAGATTACTACTAAACTATAAGAACCCAAACAGTTTAAAGGTTGTGTATTGGAGACCTAAGACAATTTCAACAGGGTTTTGGTGCTTAGTTTAGTATAAGGATAACTCTTATCAAGAGCCCTGAGGAAGAGTGTTAACTACCCTTGCTGCCATGAAACAGAAGCTCAGCTCTACGTCAAGGACAGGAATAACATTCTTTCTTCGGGCCATGTAGGAAATCACTAGTCTGAATAAGGGGCCGATCAAGTGGGTTTTGTTTTGGAGGGGGTGGGGCATGAGTGGATAATTGGTCGGATAGTGTGTTTATGTATATATATATATAT